GCCATGGAGCTGGAGCAAATAGGAGGCTTGTTGCCCCAGCGATGGAAGAAGCCAAACTTCCCGGCAGCTGCTGCCTCCTCTCAAGGCAACAAAGTTTCAATTATAGAAGGTAAATAAACCCCAAATACCTGCTTCCAGTCACCATGGCTACAGAGCTGGAGCAAATAAAAAAATAAATTAAAAAAGGAAAGGCTGGGAGCTTCGGTCACCAGGGAGCTTGGTCAGACTGAAAACAGCCATCAGTCCCTCACCCAGGCTGGCCAGGCAGCCCAGCAGGACCCCTACTCTGATAAAGGACACCCTTCAGGGCAAACCAGTCGGCCCCCACCCGTGCACCAGGCCTCAATTCTATATAATAAAAGGGTAATATTCAAATTGACCCTAACAGCAGAACGACTGGGAATGACTGGTCACTATGACACACGCTGGGCAACGGTTTGAGGCTGCAACTTCCTCTGGCATGGGTCCACTGTGAGACACAAATTTTTGTGCACTAGGTCTCTAGTAATAAATATAAAGTACTTATGGTTAACAGTGTACTCCCACTTTAAAAAACACACACCAAACAAACTACATTTTATTATTAAGGCATTTTTTATGATAGTGAGAGATTATTTCAAAAAGTGACACTCAATAGAGAGGTGCAAAGAGTCAAACAAAGAGAGAGAGAGGGAGAGAGAGAGAGACATCAGGAAAACCAACAATTGGGAGACGATAAGAAGAGATGGGTTTTCTTCATTTGACATCAAATCTCATTTCCAGCTTCTCTACCCTCCTCCGCATTCTGGGAGACAGGCCTCTTTCACTCACTGCTGGACGACTTTCCCTCAGTCTCCTGGTTGCTCTAAGAAAGGAGAGACACTGGCAGTTGGTTGGAGGGCAGGAGGAGGGCAGGTTTCAACTCCCTGCTGTCTGATGTCAGGCTGTGAATTGGCTATGGTGGTGTTGGTGTTACTCTACCTAAGGACATAGCCCCTGTCTGGTTGACTTTCTTATGGTCAAAATGACAACCACCTCTACAGCCATAGCCCTTGCTGTGTTCTGGTAACTTATCTTTCCCTTTACTCTTCAGCAGTAGCTCCCTATTATGACTTATCTTTAGAGGCCTCTCCATCTTCATCAATTTCCCTTACTTCTCCTCACCCCTTTGTACATAGTCCCTTTATTAAACTCTCTTCAATTACTCATAAGTTTGTGCCTTGTATTTTATTTTGGAACAAGAAAGATACAAACATATAACAAACAAACAATCAAATCCATGGAACAGTAAGCTAATGTGTGCAAGTTGAGTTATTAACAACAATTCAGGTTTGAAAACAATGTCTGTGAAGCAGAAAGAACCTGGGTCCCTCACAGCCTAAGCTACCAGCACCCAAGGCTTCCCTGAGGGAGCTTCATGTCTCTGGACTCTCCATGGGTGCCCATGGCTCCTTGCACACTCCACGCTAAGATGCAGTCGTGACCATGTGGACTAAGAGGGAGGAAACAAAACTGCCTTTGAAAGAAGATAGTTCTGAGCCAACTCTTACCTGAGCATCATCTTCTAGTTGAAGGTGGTGAGTAGAAAAAGAGGAGCTTTCCAGGGAGTGCTGAGCACCAGAGAATGCTCTCCTATCCATGGATAGGAGGTGTCTGCAGGAGCAGGGGTGGAACCTGATGACCAAGAGAGGCTTATCAAGATGCTGGTCAGGCCCTGTGACTTTCTGCCCAAGGGACACTGGCCAATGAGATTCTGGAGATGTGAGACAAGGGCCTCACGAGATGCTTCTCACTTGCCCTAAGTCCAATGACTTATCTCTTCCTCTCTACATCTTACCCCATCTGGTCCCCGTCCTGTGAGGAATGCTTGAACTGGAGCCTGTCACTGCCTGCTGTGGGCGTGTTCAGGCAGCCCATCCAACAGGCAATGTGAGCTTGCATATCTAAAGAAGAGTTTGCTTGGCATTCAGGGCCCTGCATGGCCTGGCTCATCTGATCTGTTTCCATTTACTCCCAAGAGTAATGAATTCACATTAGATTATTTCAGAGAACACAAGAGTATATAAAATAAAAATATAAAGACTCCCTAATCTCAATCACCAATAGCAACCAATGTTTACAGTTCCCATTTTAACTCTTTTACAAGTTATTTTATAGCTTTGCGTAATGAAACCTCCTTTTTAGTTGTGACTTATCAATATCAACACCTGTGTAAACTGTGTTCCCTTTTAGCAGATAAAGAATTTAGCCAGTTAGATATGAAGGAGGTTAGTTGGTGGGGA